AATGTTTGAGAATGCAAAATACTAATCTACCCATCCTCTCATCGAGTCCCAGCATAAAAATGGTGCGTTCACTTCACTTAAAAATGCCTTTGCCATGTGTATATGCAATGCAGCTCTAACCTCTTTAGAAAATGCGAATGAAATTGCAGCAGTTTTACAAGAAGCAGTGGAAAGAGCGAATAATTACACCTTTTCACCCTTGATGTGTATGTTTGCTTTGTCCACAGTAATCCAGTGTGCTATTCAGTCATACTACCCAATTACTAATGATGCTGAAGTGAAAGGAAATTGGGATTCGTTGGCTAAAATGTTCAATTGTACAATATATCCAAGTGATTTTGTTGATGGGAGTGCAATTGACTATGTCCATATCTTTCGTTGTGCTGCGATGCCACCTTCTTATTTGGTAGATCAAAAAATCCCATCCACCAAAAATCATTTTGTTACTTTGTGTTTAGAGGACCACCTTTGAACATTGCTTTTATTAATCTTGCCATCTTTACCATTGTTGGATAAACATCTTTGTCGCTGTTGGAAGAAGATCACCTTTGAACATTGTTTTTATTAATCTTGCCAACTTTACGATTATTGGATAAACATCTTTGCTGTTGTTGGAAGAAGATCACCTTTGAACAGTGCTTTTATTAGTCTTGCCATCTTTATGGCTGTTACAAAAGGCATCCTCGCTGCTTTTCGAAAAAGACCATTTGATGGGGCAACAAAGATGGGGAATTATTTTTTTGTAGTGAACTGTCTTTTGGTTATTCACTGAAAAATAACATGCTTCATCTTTCTCTCACTCCTGTGGCAACAATCCTGTGATTACAGAAAGGTACGGAAACTGCGTTGATTTTACATCAGACACCACAAGATAAGTAAAATTTTTATCCGAACAGAATTAAAAAAATGGCGATATTAGAATTTTTTTTAGATGAGATTATAACTAAAATATTGTTATATTCTACATTAAAAATGCAAGAATTTGCTTTTCCGAGAGTCTAGATTTCAAAATTTTCTGGGGGAGCATGCCTCTCAATCCGGCCCGCAGAGACACTTAAGAAAGCCAATTTCACCACTCACATTGACAAAACTGAAGAGATTAATTGTGATTTTGTAATGATATTACTCTTCATTGAAATTTAACCTTTAAATTTTGAATAAATATTTTCTTAACTAATGAAGCTTGTGTAATGTACTTCGTTTTATTAAAATATTTGTTCTTTGACCAGCGGTATACGGTTCGTCGGCCCTCAACATGCTTGATGAAAGTTCATGTGGCCCTCTGGCTGTAAAGTTTGGAGACCCCTGACGTAGGGTATGCATGAAATAACAGCGAAGACACGTGGTTGATATTGATTTAACATTAACTCTGTATTTCCCCTTTAAAATTTTATGATTGAAAGTTGTTTAAACTTTTAATGTTGGTCTGGTAAAAATCGGCATAACATTGTGAGTTGAAAATGTTTATTAAATGCTTTCTCGGGGAATACTCAAGCGAAGCAAGAAATTCCTTCAAATTATGGCAAAAAGTAATCATTGCATGCTGTTAAATTTATGTACTTGTGGCTTAAATGTTTATCAAATTACATCACATAGGCTCCAAGATCAGCTTTAAATATACAAATGAACTAATACTGCCAAAATTATCGAAATAGTAAAGTTTTGGTATTTTGCCTTGTATGCATTGCCATGAGAAGTAAGAAACAATTCCTGTGTGTACTCAATTTTTCTCATATTGACATTTACTTTTCCTTGCAGCATTTTTCGTTTTCCGAGCCTGTGAAAATATAACTATATGTACAAGCCCTACATTTTCTTAAATATCAGGTTTCGCTGAATATTAATCTTAACAGCTCAGCAATCGAGCATAACATCAACCAAAGTAATAGTTTGTTTTATGTTTATTGATGTCAACGATTTGTTGTACACGTACAGCTATACATCGTAAATATAAATCGCATCTTTACCATTTATTTGCGTGCATAGATTTATTTTATCTGATATGACAATGTTGTTCGTTGTGCCATATAGGACTCCCTGAATCTCATCAGGACGTGTATTTCTCCTCTTTGAGATTCTTGCCCTCTTTATAAAAGCACTCAAGAAACAGGAAAATCGAGTCATCATTAAAAGGCTTTCTAAAACACGACTAAATTAAGCCTCTTGTATATTAAAAACGTCCATGATTTCATGACATAAGCTCTAACTTAGCTTACAAATGAACTTATGTTGCTCAGAAATTGAAAGAGTACTAAAGCCACTGCAAGTCCAAACGGAATAAAAAGTCTTTTCTTCAAAATTTAGGTTTCCCATTATGTGTATAAGAAATATTGGCAAAATCTTAAGTAGAAAAAAAGACAAAATCTTTACTGACGAATATTAAACCAGACTTGCAAGCGCACCTCAGTTAAATATAACAGAACGTTAACGATGAATTTCAAACCAAGGATAGTTTCCCCTGTTTGCTATAAAAAAACATGCTTATAGCGAATCACTGAATAGTCAAGTAGTTATCTAAGGAAGGATGTACGTATTAAACAATATCAAATGACATAATTGGCACTTGCATGTACTGTGATGATAATATGCTCATTAGCACACACCTGCAATTGAAATTAACTTGGTATTATATTCATCAATGTTTTTATCTTCTTTGAATTTTTGTCCCCATTTACCTCATTTTGGCTAAAATTTTATTTCACATGACGTGGAAAAATCGACATGCAAGATCAGCTTTTGACATCAAAAGTAAACTCGAAATGAACTTATTGTTCACGGGATGTTTCAAGACACGATGGAGGATAAATAAGTGGGCTCAATTCAGCATCTTAAGTTTTAATACAGGCTATTTCATAGACCAGTGTAAGAGAATCATATGGAATGATTAAGAGTTACATATTAATACAGAAATTATAGATCATACTCCAACTTTTGTATATTGTCAAGAAAATTGAAATTGTAAAATTTCAGGATTTCACCTTGTACATGCACATCGCCATAAAGACCTTATCTTTTTCACTTACGGATACTCCGTACGAGGATCTGGAGGTCTTTGCAAACGGTCTAGAACTAGCAGCTTTCTACGCGCACTCCGTAAATGGAGTCCCGGTTTTAATGAGAATTGAAAAAATAATTAATGTTCGTGTAGTGAATCTGGTTTTTGAGTAATTCCGTCTCGTTATATTTCCAGAAGAATAACTATAATTTTTAACACACGTGGTATTTGATTTGCCCGAATTTACCCAAATTAAAGTAAGCACATGCCGTCTCACATGTCAATTGTCAACATAGTTAGTTATATACTGGTATTATTATTATTCAAAGTTTATGTTGTTTCCCCCGTAATCAAGAAGAATGGAAACAATAAGTAACAGCAATAAGTAGATATAGTGAATTATTCTAACCGAGCGAAAAAACTATACTATTTTTTTAATAGTTTTCATAATCTAACTCTGCTTTGAATTATTAGTTAGTAAACTTCTAAAATTTACATCCTTGCTTTACATCTAAAATATTATTAATTCTTTGTGTATCCTTGCTTTGTCTCATTGAGACATTAACGTAGCATTTCTAGTGGCGGATATAAACCAAAGTCAAGAAGTCCTTATGGCAAACAAAGTACTTGACTAGAGAAAAGTCTTTGCGCATTTAATAAAAACGACAAGTTTTTTTAAAATAAACATGTTTCAACATCTCATAATGCCATCTTCAGTATTATAAGGAATATTATGTATGTAATGAATATATATGAGTAATATGAGAAAACTTTTTTTAGAGTCTGCTCAGAAAGGAAACTTATTTTTCATAAATAATACATAATTTAAATTTATCAGTTGCCAGTCTACAAATAACAGCATCTGCAAAGAAATTTTAGTCGAAGAACTAGCATCCTTCTTTGCGCGCTCCGTAAATGGAGTACAGGTTTTTACCGAGAATTGAAAAAATAATTAATGTTCGTGTAGTGAATCTGGTTTTTTAGTAATTCCGTCTCTTTATTTTTCCACAAAAATAACTATAATTTTTAACGTACGAGGTATTTGATTTGCCCGAATTTGCCCAAATTAAAGTAAGCACATGCCGTCTCACATGTCAAATATCAACATAGTTAATTATATACTGATATTATTATTATTCAAATTTTATGTTGTTTCCCCCGTAATCAAGAAGAATGGAAACAATAAGTAACAGCAATAAGTAGATATAGTGTATTATTGTAATTATTTTTACTGACGAATATAAATCCAGACTTGCAAGCGTAACTCAGTTAAATATAACAGAACGTTAACTGTGAATTTTAAACCAATGATAATTCCCTTGTTTTCTATAAAACAACATGCCTATAGCTAATCTTTGAAAAGTCAAGTAGTTATCTAAGGAAGGATGTACGTATTAAGCAATATCAAATACCACAATTGACACTTGCATGTACTGTGATGATATTATGCTAATTAGCACACACCTGCAAGTGAAATTAGATTAGTATTAACTTCATTAAAGTGGTACTAAAACGAAAATTTTGCCTACCGTTTTTTTTTCATAGATTAATAGTGTATGTAAAAAAATCTCTTCTGGCGAAATTTTAGCGCAATGTATTTAATGCTGCTCGAGTTACGTAGCGATAAAACTTGTACTTTAAGAGCCGCCATTAAAATGCGCCATATTTGAATTTTCAAGAAGGAAGGTGCTTGTGACGTCATAGTCTTAACACGCGGCTGTTTACAATATAACACTATATACAAATAGAGATATAAAAGGTTGTATAACTCAATTTTTTTAACATGCCTTCAACACGCTGTGTCGTGCAAGATTGCAGTAATACGTCTGATAGAAGTACAGGCATTTCATTACATAAAAGCCCAAACGACGAGTCTTTAAGAAGAATTTGGGTTAAATTTGTTGAGACGAAGCGCGCAAACTTTAATCCGAGTTCGCGCGAAATTCGATTTATGATTTGTTCGAATCACTTCTCGGATGATTGTTTTGAGCGTTTTTCCATTTGGGTGGTATGACTAGACGGCTCAAACCTGGTGCCGTACCTACTATTTGGAAGAAATCGCCAACACCAACAACTTCAAGAGAGCGGCGTCAGGTTAGCACAAGTTACAACTATTATATACTTACACATATTGCAGATGATAAATTTTCACAATTTGAGAGAACCAATAATACATCCAGGTAAACTTTCAATATATAATATACAATTATACTAAGGTTTTAAAGGAAATACAAAATGAAGTGTCTGTATCATGCATGAAGAAAGAAGATTCGTGCTATTTTCAAGAAGAAAAAGGCACAACTGAAATTCCAGACCAATCTGAGAATGATGCATACGTAAAGCCAACAATTGCTCTTCACACATACGTGCACTTCGTAAAACAACTATTCCTCAATATTCTTACAGGACCAACAGATCACGCCCGATGCACCTAATTACACGGAAAACAAAGAAAATGAACCGGTTTGTATCTTTGAAATATATTTTTGTATAACTTTTGTAGACATTTTTAAACTTTCAGGATCATGCTACGGCGTCCTGTGAGAGTTGCAAGAAAAAAGATAGTGAATTAAAGATGTTGCATGGAGAACTTACAAAACTGCACACGAAATTAGCTATCAATCAAACGCAATGGATACGGACGACTAATTTAATAGCAAGAGAAACTGTAACCGATGAGAGAACTGACCCCAGTATACATTATTTACGTTTAAAGTTTCAATTCACAAAAGGAGACTATAGTAATAAAACAAATTTCAATGTTTTTTCAGATAAAAAGAATCCTACGACAGAACATGTTCATTTACAAGATGCAAACGAAGGCTAGTGTTAAAATATCAACGGCTCACACTTCAACAAAAACAGCATGTATAAAAAAACCACTACATCTTTGTCGTAATTTAGACCAGATTTCTGAAGAACTTATGGAGGATATGGACACATATATGTGTGATAGTGAAGAAACGAAACAGAAAGATCCATACAATACAGACCCTCTCTGGGAGCCTGAGCAGTTGAGGAGGGAATATGAGAACACTGCAGACGATGATGATAATTTAACTCGCAATCGGTAATTTAAAATAACGCTTTCTATGCGTGTATGTGTAACAAGTTTTGTGATAATTTCTGCATTTACAGTAATGTTTCTTTCATTATCAGAGTAAATGAAGGAACAAACAAAAGAGATGAGCCAAAGGGAATTGTTTTCCTTTCTCAGCTACTTTTGCTTTTTCAACACTGTCATCATTGCTTTCACCCCAACCCAAAAGTGAAAACAAGTTGTTGTGGCACTCTGTTGATTATTGAAAGTCAGTGCAGTAACTGTAAAGAAAGCTTTACCTGGAAAAGTCAACCATATCTTTTTGGAAAGTTTCCAGCTGGCAATATTTTGCTTAGTTTTGCTATTTTGTGTGCAGGTGCTTCAGTAAAAAAGGTGAGGAAGTATGTAGCAATGTATCATCTCAATCACAGATATTCAGTACTCCATAAACCAATGGCATTGTACAGGTACTTCAAGTGTTCAAGAACATGGGGTTGATCAGCTACAGTGAAGTCGCATATTATTATCACCAGAGACACTTTCTGTTTCCTTCCATTGTTTTATATTGGCGTAATTATCAAAAAAAGATATTGGAATCTCTAGAAGGAAAAGAAGTTGTATTGTCAGGAGATGGGCGGCATGACAGTATGGGTCATTCAGCAAAGTATGGCACATACACAATATTTTGCTGCACAATTGGATTAATCATTCATTTGGTTGTTGTACAGGTAGTTTTACTGGCTAACAATAAAATTAATTTGTTCCAAATACTTGAACATATGTCACTCACATTTTTGTCAAAGGCAAACCAAGCAGGGAGTAGTTCAGCTATGGAGGCTCTTGGTCACCAAAAGGCCATGTCATTTCTCCTTACAACTGGCCTAATAATAACAACATTCGTATCAGATCGACATGCCACCATAGCCAAATGGATGAGGGAAAAATGTCCAAAACTGTGCAAAGAATTGGGGAAACCAGTCATCCAGCATTTCTATGACCTGTGGCACATTGGAAAAAGTATTAAGTTATATATATACCTACATCATGACATATCAGTGAAAATCGTTTACAACAGCATGTTATTCTTATCTTATAGAGATTCAGAAGATCATGATTACATTGGCAAAAAAAAGACTGCCAAATCCTAGGAAGATGGAGAAAAGCATGCACGACATTTCTATTGGCTGCTACATCTACTTTATCTGGAATTGGAGAAGTTAAATGGGCCAAATTTGAATCTTTTTTCTATCACATTTTGAATAAACACAAAGACTTCCCAAATAAGATTTACAGCAGATGCAGTCACAGTGATGTCCTAAAGCCAAGAGTGTGGTTAACAAAGGGTACAATATTTTGAGTTTAAAAGAATATCATTACATTTGTTCACTTCAATATGCTAACTCTAAGCAACATGATAAAAACCCAAGTAAGTCAAATAGTTGGAATAATATTCATCTAGGATCTGTTGCTTATGAAAAGTTGAAAGATGCACTTACCAAAAAGAAACTTGTTAAAGCTATCAAACAAGCATCTTCTGTTGCCCAGACCAGCTGTTTGGAGGGATACCATTCAGTTGTTAATCATTTCGCACCAAAATTGATTCATTTCTCTTATTCTGGCATGTATTGCAGGTAAACTAAAAATCACAGTTTGATAAAATTCAAGACAAAGATTATGTGATAATGAAATAAAGTTAACTAATAATTTTCATTGTAGGTCCATCTTAGCAGCATTACATTTCAACTTTAATTTGCGGAGGGCTAGCAAGACTACACTTGATGGCGAAACTCGTCTTCGGTTCACATATCCAAAGTATAAGGAGGGAGAAGGAACTGTACGAAATGTTAGGGTGAAGAAAGACTTCTGTGAGTTTAATTGATGAGCATGAGAAATTAAATGCATGTGTTGTATTTACAAAACACTAATGGATTATTTACCAATTTTGTTGAAGCATATGTTGAAGAAATTTATGACACTTTGCTGAAGACTCCAAGGAAAAAGCTTGAAGAAGTTGAAAATGAATTGAGGAGACACACTCCAGAGCCAATGCACATGATGCTTTCTGAAAAGCAAGCAAAAGTTGATGCAATTACCTTGTTTCGTTCTCGAAAACGTAAACTTAACACTGACTGTCCCCCCACATGCACAGATGAAGAATGACAAGATTTGCTTGGTACAGGTCAAGAGCATACAGCTAAAAAAAGAAATCCATTGTGCAAGAAATGTGCAAAGCCTATGAAAGGTCACAAGAAGGGCAGTTGTCAATAATATAAATGTATATTTGTAAATTTTGTAAATATACCACCTATAATAGCTTTTTCCATCACCTTTTTACATTGCTATATGTCCTCATCCTCTTCGAATCCTTTGTAAGGAAGACACTTATTGTTCGGAAATGTCGTCCGTATTTTGTTGTTACAACAAGGCAGTGGCAAATGTCTGGAGCTGCCTGTAAAGTCCCATACAAGACGCACGAGTTGTCTGTACGATACTACTGTGAAGGTACCACAGGATTCATCCTGACATTCATCCTCACATTCATCCTCACATTCACCACAGGATTCACCACAACATTCAAAATTAGCATAAAGTGTGAAGTTGACACCACATTCATTTTAATATTATTAAATAACATCAGTTTCAGAAACAAAATAGAAAAAAACCGTATTTTTTGCTACAAAAAAGCAAAAGATGCACACGTGTTTGGTGCCGTTGTAAAGACCAAGTTATTTAGACAAGGATTATACTATTTTTATTTTGGTCGAAAGTCTTGGAGCAAATCTACAGCCTTTTAAAGACTACTTCCGCTTTTGTCTCTTTACGTTAAATAATTGCGCGATGTTTACAATGCATAAATGTTGACATCTAAAAAGGCCTAATTTTCAAGAAATAAACACGCTGGAAAATACTTGTGTTTGGTAACATCCGAAAGTACGTTTTCTGAGGATTTCAAATATATCTTTACTTTTGTGGCTCAAATTCGTGGAGCGAATCTACAGCCATGCAAAGTGGACTGTGAAGGTACCACAGGATTCAAGATAGTACGGTTTTTATACGGTAAACACGCTGCAATATACTCGTATTTGGTATCAGATTAAAGATCTTGCTATGAGGATTACAAATATGTCTTTATTATTGTGGCCGAAATTCCAGGAGCGAATCTACAGCTTTGGAAAGGTAGAGCATTTTTGCGTTAATTAATATTCGCGGTACTTAACTGACATGTTTATATATATCTAATTTTGATGAAGTTAACACGTTACAATTTACTTGTGTTTAGTATTGTCTTAAAGATCTTGTTCTGAGGATTACAAATATGTCTTTATTATTGTGGCCGAAATTCCAGGAGCGAATCTACAGCTTTGGAAAGGTCGAGCATTTTTGCGTTAATTAATATTCGCGGTACTTAACTGACATGTTTATATATATCTAATTTTGATGAAGTTAACACGCTACAATTTACTTGTGTTTAGTATCGTCTTAAAGATCTTGTTCTGAGGATTACAAATATGTCTTTATTATTGTGGCCGAAATTCCAGGAGCGAATCTACAGCTTGAGAAATGTGGAGACTTTTTGCGTTAATTAATTTGTGCGTTATTTAAATGAGATGTACTTATGTCTAATTTTGAAGTAGTGGTAAACGCGCTGCAATCATTTTTCATTGGGTACCATTTTAAAGATGTGATTCTGAAGATTGGAAAGATGTTCAGATTATCGTGGCACAAGTTCGAGGAGAGAATCTACGGCTTATGAAAAGAACAACACTTTTGTGCTATATAATTTGTTGCAATATAATTAGAACATATGTGTCTTATTTATTTCGTCGAATTGTTGAGTTTATGCTAATTTATGCAAACGTCATTTTAAGAATTTCACGGTTTAAAACCTTTGTCGTATCCTGAGTTTGCGTCTTTCTTGACTGACCGTTGAATCGTTGATGTCAACGGTTTTCCTGTATTATCGAAGCAATTATTACTTTTGCGAGAAAAGTTAATTCAGGATTATATTTAAATCTTTTGTGCTCTTCTCGTTTTCGTGTAACGCTAAATGATGAAGGTACGTTATCGCTTCTTCTTGTCTTACTGTCGTTCATGTCCTTTATGATTCACTGCATTTGTTTGTGCTTTTCAGCGCACTGCTGGTCGTCCATCGAAATACACGTTTGACGTGGATGCAATTGTTGCAGCTATGTCAAATGTGTCTGGCGACCAAAACGACTCTTACAGAAAGTCGAATAGCTTCTGGGGGGAAATTTTAGTTGAACTTGGGATTAGAAACAAATTGCTTGCACGGAAAAACCTATATCTTCGCTGGCACGATAACCGGAATGGCATGCGATCTGCAATCGAGCATGGGCGATTAGAGGTACGCAAAGGATATTTAATTTCATGTATTGATCATTCGTTTGACAGTAAACGGTTTATGAATTTTGGGCGGTTTGAAAATTATCTTAAACTTTCTGATTGGTTGTTTGTGTAAAGATTACGAATTAATTATTTTTCAAAACGTAATGACCGTTTGAATATTTGTGATATCTTCTGCGCATGCGCTGATTGATAACCGATGTTTGTGCTTGAGAATTATTCAAAGCAAAAGCAAGCCCAAAAATTTTCTGCGAACTTAAATTAAAATGCAATTTGTCATTTGAGTTATTAAGATTGTTGTATTTTTGCTGTATTTGATACGTCGCTCGCTCAGTGTATTGTGATGGAAAATTTATAGCATTTTGTACTTCGTGATGTTATCAGTACGACAAAGACCTTGCATAATTCATCGATATATAGTTGCATTATATGAAGCGTTAATCCTCACTTAAAGACGAAATAAAAGTTACATCGTCGAAAATATCGCTAACCTATTTATGTAAAACGCAAAAGTTACAAGCGTTTTGAATTATCGGTTGGGTGGAATATGTACAGTTCTGAAAATTGTTTTAAAAGAGTTTTTGAGGATAAAGTATTCACAGCAAAAATGGTTTTCGATGCACGATCTTTCGGACTTCACTTTTCTCAATAAGCACAGTCACGTGACATGCAATGTAATGAAGGGCGTCTTGTAAATGCAGAATAGTTTAGATAGTTATTGGACCCACATGTGTGCATAGCTTAACTTTGTTTTTAAGGCTATTACACTATTTTTGAGGGATTAGCTCCATAAAAATTTGCGTGTATCCATACCATAGGCAACATATGCCTCACTTGCACTAAATTATGTAATAATTCAATTTTTAATTAAGGTATTTAAGTGGCTATATGCAAATAAATCCATTGATAATGTACACTCTATCGGGAATGATTTATGCAAAAAGTTTTGATTTGGGTAATGCATTTCCATAAATCTGGGACTGACGGTAATCGTATTTTTCAACTTCAAATTTAATCTGAAATGTCTAAATGTCCAAGAAACGTTGTTTTTGGCATATTATTTACATATTTGGCTATTTAAGTCCAATCAATTTTAGTCAATTCATCTTTTGAGCGTAACGTCAGTGAACATTGATTATGGAGACCTTGTATTGTAGCACATTTATCAACTGCGTTAGCTATTTCTTTTCTTTGTTCTTCTTGGCGGCGCTTCCAGCATTCCTGTTGGGGGTATGGTGGGGGGAGGAGGGAAGGTCATTAGGAACCTCACACCTTTTTTGTAGCATGTGACAGGGATTTGAAAACGCGTAATCTTGGAAGTCTCACATTCTGTATAAATAGGACGCATGCTTATAGCCTTTAAAATAAAAGAGAATATTTACGTCGAATAGATGTTGCATATCCTTGCTGTAATGTGAGGAGGGGTGGCGGTGGCAGGTGAAACTTGAGTCTACAAATATAAGGTTCATGCAAGTTAAAATCGGTTGCTCATGTGTTCAGAGAATATTCTAACCATTTTAGGTGCCCAAATATAAATCTTTATATAAATTTTTTATTTTTAGATCTTTAGACATAACGTAATGGTTGAATTGTAAATATTTCAATATTGTTGTAATCATTAATATCGCCTTTTTTTATTTTAAGCATATTTAATTATTAATATCTTGAAATAGTTTATTACAGTATTAATAATGATGGTACTATTTGCTTTGTTGTAATCCAGACCATACTTCGAATTAAATCGATGTTTCTTTTGATGCACTCAATTTAATATAATACACTTGTTTGCATGTTTTAAAATGCTGAAGATATGTTAGCCAGCCATGACAATAATTATAATGATAATGTGCATCACCCGTCGTCAAGTCGCGAGTTTTTGCCTTTTTTAAAGTCCCGACGATTTAACACTCTTAGTGGTGAATGCACAGGAAACGACCATTATGATTTTGGCCAATCAGCGACTGACAGTGATGAGGCTAGCGAGGAATTCGACATGGTCACTACCCAGAAGCATTTCACTGAAGATATTCATTACACTAAAGAAAGTGAACATGGAGATGCATCTTCTATTAAACAAGATTCAAAAAAAGAAGTTTCAAGCAGACACACCAACAATGTGGTCAAAACCTTAGCACAATCCAATAAAGAAAACAAATGCATAAAACGTAGAAGATGCATACCGAAAGCCCATACTCCAGAAAGGAACAACCAAAACTATGGTGTCTCTGTCAAAAGAAGATGTTGGAATCTATATTTTGTGCGATGAAAAGAAAGAAGGTTGTCTGGAGTTTTATCATCCAGAATGCGTTGGTTTACCTCATCTTAAAACAAAGAAACAACTCGAAAAATACAGTAATTGTATAGACGGCAAATCTTATATCTGTCCTATTTGTGCTAGCAAAAAATCCCGCAATAAATACCGTCCACAAGAACTGCTGTCACTTTCAAACAAAGAAACTGATGACAATGATCCAATGCACGTTTTTGGCACAAATGATATTCACGAGGAGGGTGTCCTGGAGTCACATGGAGAAATGGAAGACGTGGTCGATAACAGAGAATGTAATGTACTTTTACATCCTTCTTCACCGTGCATTGATGAAAAAGATGAAAACATATGTATTTCAGATCGTGTATCTTACAGCATGGAAAGTAGTCCGTCGATTGAGAAAGTCATTTATCACTCTGACGAATTTCAAAAATGTCATTCCTATGATTATAAGGAAGAGGAAAAAGTACAACTGACTGACTTCTCAAGCAAGTGGCGCGATGATTGTAATGATAAAAAAGTATCATCTCCCACAGCATTTTTTGCAAAACTTGACAATGTTGATAAAAGACCTTCTACTTGTGAAAGTGATTCTAGCGAGGGATGGGAGCCGATGAAAATATCAGAAGATGAAGATAATATGGATAATGTTTGTGCTAAAGCAACATCTTCACCATTCAGCGATGTTGAATCGTATGAGATGTCTTCCAAAGAAAAGAACGTTGGCAAAACATATGCTAATATTACCCCAAACAATAATTGCAACACATCAAACTATTGCTCCGATGAGCACGAAACTTTCCAGAGAATGATGGACTGCCCATATTTGCCACGACCAAATACATTCTTTATAGCCGATGTTTGTAGGTCTGCAACATTTTTTGAGTGAAGCAGAGTGGTCAAGGATCAGACCTACCACGGAAAAACCAAACACTCTTCGGTGCCCATGGACGGATATCATGATGGATCACATGAAA